CGGAGGCCCCAGAGGCACAGTCCGCATGGCTCACCTGCATCCGACTTCGCACACCCTTCACACGCTTCGTGGCCCCAGAGGAAGCTCCTCCGAAGGCCCAAGTGGCACGGTCCGCATGGCGTACCCGCATCTGATTTGGCACACCCCTCGCACGTTTCGTGGCCTTATAGGGAACTCCACCGAAGGCCCAAGTGGCACAGTCCACATGGCGCACCTGCATCCGACCTTGTACACCCACCCTTCACACGTTTCGTGGCCCAATAGGGAACTTGACCGAAGGCTCCAGTGGCACAGTCCGCATTGCGTACCCGCGTCCGATTTGGTACACCCCTCATAAGCTTCGTGGCCCCATGGGGAGGTCCACCGAAGGCTCCAGCGGAACAGTCCGCATGGCGTACCCGCATCGGATTTAGCACACCCTTCGCACGCTTCGTGGCCCCATGGGGAGCTCCACCGAAGGTTACAGCGGCACAGTCCGCATGGCGTACCTGCATCCGATCTGGCACACCCTTCATTCTTTTCGTGGCCCCATAGGGAGCTCCACCGACGGCCTCAGTGGCACAGTCCGCATGGCGTACCCGCATCGGATTTAGCACACCCCTCACACTTTTCGTGGTATTATAGAGCAGCTCCACCGAAGGTTCCAGCGGCACAATCCGCATGGCGTATCCGCATCCGATTTGGCACACCCCTCACACGCTTCGTGGCCCCATGTGGAGGTCCACTGAATACTCCAGCGGAACAGTCCGCATGGCGTACCCGCATCCGATTTGGCACACCCTTCACACGGTTCGTGGCCCGATGGGGAGCTCCACCGAAGGCCCCAGAGGCGACGTCCGCATGGCGTACCCGTTTCCGCTTCGGCACACCCTTCGCACGCTTCGTGGTCCCATAGGGAGCGCCACCGAGGACCCCAGTGGCACAGCCCGCACGGCGTACCCGCATGCGATCTGGCACACCCCTCACACGCTTCGTGGCCCCATGGAGAGCTCTACCGAAGGCCCCAGAGGCGACGTCCGCATGGCGTACCCGCATCCGATTTGGTACACACCTCACAATTTTCGTGGTCCCCCAGGGAGCGCCACCGAGGCCCCTGTGGCACAGTCCGCATGGCGCACCCGCGTCCGATCTGGCACACCCTTCACATTTTTCGTGGCCCCAAAGGGACCTCCACCGAAGGTCCCAGAGACGACGTTCGCATGCGTTTCCCCCGCCCAATATTAGTTTCGTGGCCCCATGGGGAGCCCCACCGAAGGCCTCAGAGGCGACGCCCGCATGCGTTTCCTTCTGCGACGTACAGCGCTCCGTGGCACCATAGGGAGCTCCACCGAAGGCCCCGGAGGCGACGTTCGCATGCGCTTCCCCAGCCCCATGTACCGCTCCGTAGCCCCATGGGGAGCTCCACCGAAGGCCCCGGAGGCGACGTTTGCATGCGCTTCCCCAGCCCCATGTACCGCTTCGTGGCCCCATAGGGAGCGCCACCGAAGGCTTCAGAGGCGACGCTCACATGCGTCACCTTGACCCATCAACGTTTCGTGACCCACACGCAGCTCCACCGAAGGCCCCAGAGGCGACGTTCGCATGCGCTCCCCCCGCCCAGCACAGCGCTTCGTGGCTCCATAGGGAGCTCCACCGAGGGCCCCAGGGGCCCACGCCCGCATGCCTTTTCCCCACGCAGTACGGCGCTGCGTGGCCCAATAGGGAGCTCCACCAGTGCCCCAGAGGCGACGTTCGCATGCGATTCCCCTGCCCAGTACACCGTTTCGTGCCCCATATAGGAAGCTCCACCGAGGACCCCAGTGGCCGCGGCCGTATGCGTTTTCCCCACCCGGTACAACGCTCCGTGGCCCCATAGGGAGCTCCACCGCAAGCCCCAGTGGTCGCGGCCGCATCCGTCCCCCACACCCAGTACAGCGCCTCGTGGCCCCATAGGGAGCTCCACCGAATACTCCAGTGACCGCGGCCGCATGCCTTCCCCCACCCAGTACAGCGCTGCGTGGCCCCATAAGGAGCTCCACCGAAGTCCCGACCGCGCGCGTATCCGGCACCCATCACGGCACATTCCAAACACGCTTCGTGGCCCCATAAGGAACTCCGGACACCGAGAGCGGTACCCACAGCGCGGTATTCACAACTACATATGGTTGGGTTATTCGCCCAGCTAAATTTTCCAATTTCCAACCATCCTGCGGTGTTGGGTCCTCGTTATGAGGAGACAGCGCCCCGCGTTCCTCCTTCCTCCTTTCTTCCTCCTTCTCTCTTTCCTTCCTCCCTCCTCCCGCTCCTCCCATCCCTTGCACCCCTCACACGCTTCGTGGCCCTACAGGGAGCTCCACCGAAGACCCAAACGCTACAGCCCGCATGCGTCCCCCCTGCCCAATACAGCGCTGCGTGGCCCCAAAGGGAGCTCCACCGAGGATCCCAGTGCTAATGCCCGCATGCGCTCCCCCCCACCCAGTACAGCGCCTCGTGGCCCCATAGAGAGCTCGACCGAAGGTCCAAGTGCTGACGCCCGCATGCGTCACCCTACCCAGAACAGCGCCTCGCGGTTCCATAGGGAACTCCACCGAAGGCCGCAGTGCTACCGCCCGTATGCGTCCCATCCACCCAGTACAGCGCCTCGTGGCCCCATAGACAGCTCGACCGAAGGTCCAAGTGGCTGTGACCACGTGCGTCCCGCGCCACCCAGTACGGCGCTTCGTGGCCCTACAGGGAACTCTACCGAAGGTCCCAGTGGAACCGCTCTCATGCGTTCCCCCCACCCGCGGCAGCACAGCGCTGCTTCGTGACCCCATCGGGAACTCCACCGAAGGCCCCAATGAAGCCGTCCGCATGCGTCCTCCGCCCAGCATTGCGCTTCGTGGCCCCACAGGGAGTTCCACGGAAGGTTCCAGTGCTATTGCCCGCATGCATCCCCCCACCCAGTACAGCGTTTCGTTGCCCCCACCGAAGGATCCAGCGCTACCGCCCGCATGCGTCTCTCCCACACAGTATCGCGCTTCGTGGCCCCATACGGGGCTTCACCTGCGGCCCCAGTGTTACCGCCCGCTTGCGTCTCTGCCGCCCAGTACAGCAGCGATTCCTGGCCCCACAGGGAACTCCACCGACGGCCCCAGTGCTGCAGCCCGCATGCGTCTTCCCCACCCAGTACAGCGTTTCGTGGCACCATAGGGAGTTCTACCGACGGCCCCAGTGCTACCGCCAGCTTGCGTCCCCCTCCACCAGTACAGCGCTTCGTGGCCCCGTCAGGAGCTCCACCGAAGGTCACAGTGCTACCGCCCGCATGCGTCCTCCACCCAGTACAGTTTTTCGTGGTCCCGCAAGGAGCTCCACTGGCGGCGCCAGTGGCACCGTCCGCATGCGTTTCCCCTACCCAGTAGATCGTTTCGTGGCCCTATTGGGAACTTCACCGAAGGCCTCAGTAACATTTTCCCACTGCGCCCCCCCAAGCACAACGCTTCATAGCCCCATAGGGAGCTCCACCGAAGGTCCCAGTGCTACCACCCGCACGCGTCCCCCCCCACCCAGAACATAGTTTCGTGGCCCTATAGGGAACTCTACCGAAGGTCCGAACCGCCCGAACGCATCTCCCCCACACAGCACAGCACTTCGTGGCCCCATATGGCGCTCCACCGAAGGCCCCAGTGGCAAAGTCCACATGCGTTCCCCCCACCCATCACAACGGTCCGTGGCCCATAAGGAGCTCCACCGAAGGCCCCAGTGAAACCGTCCGCATGCGTCTCTCCCACCCAGTACAACGCTTCGTTGCCTCATAGGGAGCTCCACCGAAGGCCCCAGTGGCAAAGATCGGCCTCACCCAGTACAGCGTTTGTTGGCCCATAGGGAGCTCCACCGAAGGCCCGGGTGCTACCGCCCGTATGCGCCCCCACCACCCAGTACAGCGTTTCGTCGTCCATACGGAGCTCCACCGAAGACAATACCCACAATTGCGGGACCCACAACTTCATATGGTTGGGTTCTTTGTCAGGCTAGTGTTTTTCCCAACCATCCTATGGTGTTGGTCCTCGTCTTGAAGAGACGGTCCCCGCGTTCCTCTCCTCTCCTCTCCTATCCTCTCCTATCCTCCCCTTTCCCCTCCTCCTCCCTCTCATTCCTACCTCTACTCCCTCTTCCATCACCCCCCCGCACGTTTCGTGGCCCCATGGGGAGCTCCACCGGAGACGATACCCACACCTGCGTTACTCACAACTGCATATGGTTGGGTCCTGCGTGAGGCTAATTTTCTTATCCGACCGTTTTTGGTCCTTTGCAATGGTGTTCCCGCTGCAGCGTTGGCTTTATTTCCGCGCTTCTGGTCCTTCAAAGGCGTCCTCACGCTTCAGCGCTGGTCTCATTTCCGCGTTTTCGGTCCTTCCGAATGGTGCTCCCGCTGCAGCGTTGGCGAAATTTACACTTTTTGCGCTTGTTCAGAATGTGGCTCCCGCAGCCCCGGCCTCATCTTCAAATTGTCGGTCCTCCAGCATGGCTTTCTGGCTGCACCGTTCATGCAGCCATGGTGTGCAATTCAGTTCTACAGTCGGGGCCCTGAAGAAGGAACCCTTTTCGTTGGGGAGGGGCTCCGCGTTCCTTAAGTGTTTCACAGCTTGCCCTCAGGCTTTCCTTATGTTTCCGACAGGAAATCGAAGGTTAACTTATGGAAGAAAGGGGCCTCGTTCTTATTTAGGGTTCCTTAGGTCAACGCCCCGACTGTATGTTATGTGCTGCTACCCTGCGATGCCGTCATTCGGTCTGCTGTGCTGCGGTGTGCACTGCTGGGCCACCTCGTGCCACGTCGTGCTGTGTTGCCCCGTGCCATTCGAGGCATCGAGGCTCGATCGAGGAACGAGGTTCGATCGAGGATCGAGGCCTCGAGGTTCGGCCGAGGATCGAGGCCTCGAGGATCGAGGATCGAGGATCGAGGATCGCGGCTCGATCGGGGATCGAGCGTCGATGGCTCGACTGCGAGGGTCCGCCCCGGCCCTCAGGCCTCCGCCCTGCAGGCGTCCCAGCAGGAGGCGAGGACCGCCGCGCTGGAGCGCAAGGCGCCCCTTCTGCGGGCCCTCCGGCGGGCCCGTGGGCGGCCGCTCGGCCATCGTCAGGAGGGGAGACAACACACAAACACAATTCATCGTCGATCCTCCAGAAGATAGGGGAAAGTATGGGAATTGGGGGGGAAGACAGAAACCCAGAAAATGTAGGAAAATATGGGGGAACTTTCTATTTGTGTGTATTTATTTGTGTGTCCTGGGGCCCCTTCACATCGGTCGGCCCCTCGGCGTGCCTTCGGCCAGCCTTCGGGCGGCCCTCGGGCGGCCCTGCTCGTCGTCCGATCGAGGATCGAGGCGCCGATGCTTTTCGTCGTCTCCTGCGCCTCCCCGTCGGGGAGGACAGCGATGAGGAGGAGGAGGAGGAGGAAGTCCATGTCGGTCCAACGTAAGAAGGAGGAGGAAGGAGAAGGACGACGAGGGATGCGGAGGAGGAGGAGGGAGGGAGAGGAGGAGGACAGGATAATCAGTTCAAGGCCAAGACGCATCAACGAGGTTGAAGTAAACTCTCCATTCAAGATCCCTCTTCATGTGGTCATATAGGCCCCTATAAGGAATTACCCTCATTGCGGGAAGTGCCCCTTTCGAAGACAACAGTCTGAGAATTTTCTATCGTGTCAAAACAAAGTGCCTGGGACTTCGACGCCACGAATCAACGTGACTGCTGCGTCCTAACAATCTCAAACCGTGCTGGAACACTTGCTCTGTGACCTGAACACCAGGAATCAACGTGACGGTTGCGTCTTGACAACCTTGAGTCGAGCTAGAATACTTTCAACCTTACCAATCTCACTGCAGCCGATGCAGGCGTTTAAGGCTAACGTGCGCGGCGCGAAGGCGAAAGCCACATTCTGAAAAGGGACCTCCCTCCATCCTTGAAGCCGGTGCGATCTATCAAGAGCGAGTGTGCGCGGCGGGCGGGAGCCACATCTTGAACACGCGCCACCCTCCATCCCTGAAGCTGCTGCAGATTTGTACGACGAATGTGCACGGCGCCGAGGCGAGAGCCACATCTTGAGCACGGGCGCTCTCCATCCGTGAAGCTGCTGCAACCTTGTACGACGAGTGCGCGCGGCGCTAACGCGATAGCCACGTTTCGAAAACGGCCCGCCTTCCATCCGTGAAGCTGTTGCAAATTTCAAGCGTCAGGATCATACATGGTGGAACGTCTTAGGCGAAACGTCTGGCACGACCTAACCACACATCTGGGGGGGGGGGGGGCGAAAGGGAGGAGTTATCTGTAAGGAAACATAATGGAGGAGGAGGGCGATGGTGATGATTATGCTGATGTTGATAATGGTGATGATGCTGATGATTATTATTGTGACGATGATGATGTTAATGATGCTGGTGCTGATGCTGATGCTAATGTTGGTGATTATGCTGTTGATGTTGATGATGCTGATGATACTGATGATGACGACGATGATGATGCTGCTGATGATAATTATGATGACCATGGTGGTGGTGATGGTGATAATTGTGTTAATGGTGCCCATTATGAGGAGGATGTCGATATTGATGATGATTATGATGATGACCATGATGATGGTGATGATGCTGATGCTGATGCTGATGCTGATAACGATGGCGATGGCGATGATGATGATGATGGCGACGATGGCTATGCTGATGATGATGATGATGATGATGATGACGACGATGGTGATGGTGAGATTGATGATAATGCTGCGGATGATGATGCTGATGATGATGATGATGATGATGATGATGAGGATGAGGATGAGGATGAGGATGAGGATGAGGATGAGGATGATGCTGATGCTGATGATGATGATGATGATGATGATGATGATGATGACGGTGCTGGTGATGGTGATGATGATGATGGCGATGATGTTGACGATGCTGATTATGATGATGTTGATGTTGATGCTGATGGTGGTGATGATGCTGTTGATGTTGATGATGGTGATGATGATGACGACGATTATGCTGCTGATGATGAGTATGATGACGATGGTGGAGGAGGACGACGAGGAGGAGGAGGAGGGCGAGGATGAGGAGGAGGGGGAGGGGAGGGGAGGGAGGGCAGCGTCTCGTACCAACTCCAACGACCGCAGCTTCAAGGAGGGGGAGTAGGAGTAGGAGAAGGAGTAGGAAGAGGAGGAGGCGGAGGAGGAGGTGGAGGAGGAGGAGAAGGTGGAGGGGCTGGGGGACGAGGGTCACGAAGACGGGAATGAGGGCAGAGAGGAGGAGCGGGATTTGGAAGATGGGAGGAGGAGGAGGAGAAGGAGGAGGAGAAGGAGGAGGAGGAGGAGGAGGAAGGCCGCAAGTGGGAGCGCCCCATCAGGCGCTCGAGCAAAGGGTGCAGGAGCCGCCCCCTGCGCCCGCACGGCCCATCCCGCGTGGTGCTGGCGAGTTGGGCCCCATCGTGCCTCTGCCCCCTGCATATCCACATTTTCAGCGCACCCAGTACGGCGTTTCGGGGCCCTATAAGGAGCTCCACCGAAGGCCCCAGTGGTTGTGAACACATGCGTCCCGCGGGCCCCGTGGAGCTGAAGCGCATCTTGTCTCCCGCGGAGCAGGGGGTGAAACGCCGCGGCATGGCGAATCTCTTCAGCGACGGCGACGCTGCTTCTAAGATAACCGCCAAGGTGGCGCCCAAACCTCCCCCTCCCCCTCCCCCTCCTCCTCCTCTTCCCCCTCCTCCTCCTCCTCCCCCTCCTCCTCCTCCTCCTCCTCCTCCTCCTCCTCCTCCTCCTCCTCCTCCTCCTCCTCCCCCTACCCCCCCTCCCCCTGCTCCTCCTCCTCCTCCTCCTCCTCCACCTCTCCTCCTCCTCCGTCTCTCCTCCTCTTCTTCTTCCTCCTCCTTTTTGTGTGTTCTCTCTCTCTCTCTCTCTCTTTCTCTCGCTCTCTCTCTCTCTCTCTCTCTCCCTCCTCTCTCTCTCTCGCTCTTTCTTCTCCTCGTCCTCTTCTTCCCCCCCATCTCTCCTCTTCCGGCTCCTCCGCCTCTGCTTCTTCATCCTCGTCTTCCTCATCCTCCTCCTCGATCTCCTCTTCCTTTTTCTTTCCTCTTGGAGCTCCACGGTTCCGCTCGGCAGCTCTCGGTCGCCCCTCGCGGCCCCCTGGGCGCCCCCCTCTTGTGCCCCCTGGACTTTGGCCATGTTTTCCAGTCGCTGAACCAGGCGTTCCTGCTTTTTCTCCTTGGGCCCCTCGCCCCCCCCCTCCCCCCCCCTCCCCTCCCCGCGCGGAGTTCATCCGCTTCCTCTAATCGGCGATCGGGGCGCTTTTCCAGGCGACGGGCGCGCTCCAGAGGCTCTTGCTGGCCCCGTCGTGGGGCCGTCCATGGGCGCGCACTTTCGGGCGCGCTGCGCGCTCTGAGCACCGCTGTCTTCCAGGGGGGCTCCGCCGTGTCCGCGGAGACTCCCGGCCCGGGGCCCGCGCGGGCCTGCGCCGAGGACGTCGGAGGCGCTCTGCGCGAGCTGCGGGCGCCATTGGAAGTTCGACGGGCGGGGGCCCGGGCGGCTTCGACGGTGAATCGTATGTTATTCTTGAAGGCGGCCAAGTGCAAGGCGGTCCCGTTCTCGCCTCCCTTCTCGGTGTCCCTGACCCCCGCGGTGAAGTTGTCTCCAGTGGAGGCCCGTGCCAAGAGCCGCCCTGCTTGCCCCCAGGGTGCCCTGGGTGTCTCTTGGGCTTCGATGGTTCTGCCGCGGGAAGCGCGGCGCTCCCGCGCCAAGGATCCAATGGGCGCCCTGGGGTCTCAGGGTTAGATTTCTGGTGGCAGGTTTTTGCGGATTGGCCCCCGTTGCATTTTGTTCCCGAGTGGTCGGGCTGCCAGGTCGCGCCTTCCCTGGTCTACCTCGGGACTCACGCGGGAACCCGCCGCGGCCCCGGGGGCGTCCTGGATCGACCCGGCCCGATTGGGCCGTGCGCCCTGGAGTGGGCCAGTCGGCCAAGCAAGGCCCAGAATTTCGAGCCGAATCCACCGAAAAACCCAACGACGAGGATAAGACGCCAGGGGCGAAGGCGGCGGACCGCGCGAAGCGTCCACGGGGGGCCCCCGTTCCCCGTCCAGCCGCCCGTCCGGGCCAGCGGCGGGCGTGCAGCAAGGAGGGGGGAGGCGCAGATCAGGGTGATTATTTTCACGGGCCGCGCGGCACAGCAGTGCCTCGAAGGGAGCGCCTGCGCCGCAGCCCGTGCCAAGTGCAGCCAGAGTACTGCAATGCGCTGCCATGTGGGCAGCAACGTTGCCAGAGGGCAGCGGGCCCCCCGCCCGGAAGGAGGGTGGATTGCGCGCCCAGCGTCGGCTCAGATCGCGGGCCATTGGGCGGCGAGCTTTTCGTCGGTCTTGCACAACGCACGCGCTGCGATTACCCTTATCTTGCGTGTCCCGGTTCGCATGGATGTCACAGTGCTTCTTTGAGGCCCGAGTGGTCGGTCCTCGCGCAAGTTTTCCGCGTCCCACTGGGGGCTTTCAGCCTCGGCGCTTGGTGCCGGTTGAGGGAGTGGGGCGGCCCGAAGATCGCGCGCTGGGCGCGCCTCAGTGTCTCCTCACTGGCGCGGGCGACGCTACTGGCATTCCCCGAACGTGCGCGGCTACTGGGCCAGTTGCAGGTTCGTGCCGAGGAGAGAACCCGGCGCGGGGCGCCCTGGACATGCTGCGCACTGGCGAGCCCTGCCCGAGCTTCTGGGGGGCCCCCCGCCGCCGCGGAGGCGGCGGCCGGCGCCGCGGCCGCCCGCGCGCCGCCCGAGGGCACCGAGCCCACGCGGCCGCCTGCTCCCGAGGCGGTTCGGGCTGAGCCCGCGCCGTCTCTCGGGCGCCCTCCTCGCCCCCCACGCGCCGCTCGCCGTGCTCTGCGCGCGCGGGCCAGGCGCGGCGCGCCCCGTCGCCCGCCCGCCGTCGGGCGGCCGCTCGGGCGTCGCGGCCCCGAGGCCAGCTTCATCCGTGGGGGCGTGGCCAGGGCGCCGCTCGCTCGCCGCCCGTGCTCGTTGGCTCGGGTCGCGTCGAGGGCACGGGCTGGCGCGCGGCTGAGCTCGTCGCGGATCGCCCGCCCGGCGGGCAAGCGCAGCTGCGCGTCCGGCCGCCGCGGCGCCCCCGACGCGCCGCGCGCCTGCGAAGCTGCTCCCGCCCCCCATCCTGGGGGCGCTGGTCTCTGAAGCCGCCCTCGCTCCACGCGGCCTCGGCGCTGACCCCCCCGCGCGCGTCCCGCCGCGCGGCGCGGGCCATCCTCGTGCGGCCCATGGCCGAGCCCCAGACTTGGAGCCGCGCATTGGCGGACGCGCGCTCGACGCGCATGGCCGCGCCGCTTCGCGTGCCCGCGGAAGAAAAGATCACCATCAACGCGTTCGAGGGGTGCGACGACTCCCGCGGTTCCGCCCCCTCCTCGCCCTCTTCTTCGGCGCCGTCGCGCCCTCCTGCGCCTGCTCCCACGCGGGCGACGCCGACGTCTGTTTCTGCATGTCCTACGGCGAGTGCCCCTTCGACTCCGAGGCGGCGGCGCTCTGCGAGCTCCCGGCCCCTGCCCTCGTGCGTTGCGCCCGCGGGGGCCCCTGGGGCCGCTGCCAGCGACGGCGATTACGTGCACCCCTCTGTCTTCCTCCTCCGGATCCGGGACGACCGCTTCGGCATCAAAGCCGCTCAGACGCGGACCTACTCCGCGCGTTGCGACACCTGCCCCCAGGGGGCCCCGCTCCTGGTCTGGGACCCCGGCTCTCCGCCGCTGGGGTGCTTCATATGGAAGCCGGCTGGAGACATAGGAGCTCCCGAGCAACATGGGCTGCCCCCCATCGATAAGCGTGCCCTGGCCTGGTGGGGGCGCCAATCGAACGCTACTTGGCGCTGCCGGCGCTGTCTGGTCCCGATCTGGAACATAGGCCCGGCCACCCTGGACCACATCCTGGATCGCGACTTCAGGCCGCTGTATCCAGATGAACCTCCGGCCCTTCCCCCGCTCAGCAGCCAGATTGGGTTCGAGGCACCTGTGGACATCGTGGATTCCAACCCGTGGCTTGGCGAGGACGCCAAGGCCCAGGGCCAATTCACCAAGGTCGGAGCAAGCAATCCCCCTGGACCCAGCCCCACAGGCAGCTCTGGCGCGGCGCCAGAGATCACCTCCCTGGCAGGGTCCCCGCCATCTGGCGCGCGTTCTGGTGGCGACGAGGCCAGATACTCCCATGGCTGCCGACGCAGACAGGTCTCAGGGTTCAGCGGACAACGACTCACGCATGGGCCACCCACGCATGGGCCACCATGACCCGCCCGACGACGACAACGGTGAAGGCGCGGAAGACGGGCTCCCCCTTCACAAGATGGAGCCCGACTACGAAGAGGATGAACCCGCCCGCCCTCCCACGCCTTCCGAGTCGGCCCAGGAGGGCGATGATAGTCGCTCAGGCGGCGATGCCCCGCAGCGAAGCCCGTCGGCGGGCAGCTCTGACACCGGCCGCGAGGACACCGCGACTTCAGTCGCAGAGGATACGCCCTACGCCGATCGCAGGAGGGCTCCAGCCCGAGACCCCGCGAGGCACGAGAGGCACGAGAGGACCAGCGACGGCGGCGGCTCGCGGTGCGTGCGCTTTCCCGCGCCCGCCCCGACGCCCCCTGAGCGGGGGCCCCATTACTCTCGCCATCCTGGCTCTTCGGAGCAGGACGCACTCAACCTGTTGTCCTGCCCTGAAGGAGGCGGCCCAATGTACAAAGTCAGGCTGGGCACCGTCGAACTCGAACGTCCCGACGAGACACCAGCCAGTCGCATATCCAGGCTTCAGTCGCAGCTGGGAGCAGTCTTTTGCGCACTGTGGACAGCGAACACGCAGCGTACCCTGCTCCCTGGATGGAGGGCGCCCAAGTCCGACCCGAAACTACACATGCCCTCGGATATCAGCAACTTCCTAGAGGCCTGGAAGGACTGCGGGTACGACGCCTACGAGATGGACAGGAGGCTGGGCTAGGATATCGACTGGAACAGGATACGAGCTAACTACCTGTGTCACTCCCAGACAGACGACTGGAGCAAAGGCGGCTATCGCCACGCGGGCTGGCGCGACCGTGCGACAAGTTCCTGGGGCACCTGGAGCAGTTGGCAGGGCGAGTGGCTCGACGGATGGCGCGAAGATCACTGGCAGGCGGGTGGCAAACGCGGCGGAGGTTACCCTGATGATCAGGATGATCGAGAGGAAAAGAGACTTCGCTGGAGAGACTGAACTCCCTCTCGGCCCTTGCCGCGCCCCAGTGCCCGCGCCCCACCTGCGCTGCACATCGCGCCACCGCGGCCCTCTGCCGCTCTTTCCTTCAACCTGGGGCAGCACTGCCTCTCCTCTGAACGGCGCCCTCTTTCACCCTTGGACCTTGGGGTGCCGTTCGGTAATGCCGTCTGCTCCCCGCGTGACACCGCGCGCGCAGACCAACTTGCCACTGGCGTCGCTGCCTTTCTCCACCGGTGGCCGCCGCCCCCTTGCCGCTCGGCCCCCCCTTTCCTCGCCTCGGCTGCACTTCCTGATTCCAGCGGGCGCTGCCCAGGCCGCGCCTTGGGCCCCTAATCGCGGCGCTCTGCCGCCCTCCACCCGTCACGCGCACCTCCTGCCTTCGGATCCAGGTGCGCGCATCGGCAATACCGTCCACCGCCTCTCCGCAGTGGACTCGCGGCCTCTGGCCCTACTGTAGATGTCTCACCGCCAGGCCTTCCTGGCCTGTCAGTGGGCCATGGCTCGCCTGTCCACTGGCTTTCCCCTTGGACTTTCTAACCGAACGAACGGCCTTCCGCCGTCACCCTGGACCTTTCAAACAAGCAGCACGGCCTTCCGCCGCCACCCTGGATCCTAGTGGCTCTGAGGGACGCGTCTTGGGTACAAGCCGCTCTCGTCCCTCTGGTGCTTGACGACTCGGTTCGGTTGCGCTCAGTCACCTTAGATGTGCATACTCTTCGGGGTCTGCCGTGTATCGTGCTCTCGGCGCCCTTCCACTCGTCGGATCTGGGCTGTCGCATCTCAGTTGTGGAAGGTACTCTTGTCATCATGCTCCACACCCTGGATTCGCTTTCTTGCGTCGCGACCTGGTTCGCTGTCAGCTTTTTCTCCGTTGGACTGTCCCCAGACAGCCTGCGGTACCCGTCGGGCTCCCTGGATCGGTGTCCTCGGGAACTCTCATGCTGGACGGCTTTCCACCGTGACCCTGGATCAGTGGCTTTGAGGGACTTGCCTGGGTATGCGCGGTCTCGTGCTGGACAGCACTGAGACACTCTGATGTGCACACGCCGCGTTTCGGTCGTGTTGCGTGCATCAGGCGCCCTTCCACCCGCTGGGTCTGGGCTGAAGCATCTCGGTGTAGAAGTTTCTCGGAACATTTTCACACTTTGATGCCGTTCTGACGTCGCGGCTCACTGCCGCCGTCGGGATCCCCGCTGGACTTACGTCCCCAGTCGTCTGTGCTACTTGTCAGGCTTGGGTCGACGTCCTCGGGTACGTTCCTCGCGTTCGCACCTGGACGTTGGGACGTCTCGCGCCATTTTGGCTGCGCTTGGTCTCCTTGGTGCCTACTTCAGGCCCGTTGGACGCACCGCTGCATGCCCGTTCAGGGGCTGCCTCTGACTCCTGGATTGCATTGGCCTCGCCGCCCTGGACGCTTTCGTGAGCCGCCTGATCCGCGGCCCCGCGCGCGTTAGGTAATTTAGTCGCGTCCGCGGCCCGTTCGCGACCCCCCGCCGCTGGCGCTTCCGCCTGCGGCTGGAAGAAGAAGAAGAGAGAGAGAGAGAGAGAGAGAGAGAGAGAGAGAGAGAGAGAGAGAGAGAGAGAGAGAGAGAGAGAGAGAAGAGAGAGAGAGAGAGAGAGAGAGAGAGAGAGAGAGAGAGAGAGAGAGAGAGAGAGAGAGAGAGAGAGAGAGAGAGAGAGAGAGAGAGAGAGAGAGAGAGAGAGAGAGGAGAGAGAGAGAGAGAGAGAGAGAGAGAGAGAGAGAGAGATGAGAGAGAGAGGAGAGAGGAGAGAGAGAGAGAGAGAGAGAGAGAGAGAGAAAAAAAAAAAAAAAAAAAAAAAAAAAAAAAAAGAGCCCGTCCAGAAACGACGCCCAGGCGAGTAGAGGGTCGTCCTGAGGGGCTTTTCGGCGTCTTTGGTGCCTCGGGGGGGCCTCTGTGGGCCGTTCGGGATCCTCTGTGGTGCCTCCTGGGGGCCTCTTGGGGCCTCTTGGGGCCATCTTGGGGCCTTTGGGGGCCTCCTGGGCGCTTCTTGGGGCCATCTTTGCCCCTTGGGTGCCTCTGGGGGGTCTCTTGGGGCCGCTTGGGGGTCTCTTGGGGGCCTCCTGGGGGCCTCTTGGGCGTCTCTTGGGGCGTTCTTGAAGCGCTGTTGGAGGCCTCAGAGGCGCTGGTAGAGCCCATATTGGAGGGGATCTGTCAAAGAAAGCGGAAGCACTAATTAGCGTCGCTCCTGGAAAGCCTCTAACATCGCCTCCTGAACCGCTCTTGGAGGGCTCTTGGAGCGCTCTTGGGCGCTCTTTGCGCCGTCTTCGGGCTTTCTTGGGCCCTTCTTGAAGCTATCTTGAGCCATCTTGGAGCTATCTTGACGCCTCGGGTGGGCATCGGAAGCGAAAGCGCGAGAACGCCAAAAACATTGATTTGCCCTAGGGTTTTGAAACATTTTGGCTTCTTGGGGGCATCCGAGGGGAGCTCTAGTGGACACTTAGAGCCGTCTTGGGGCGGTCTTGGAGCGTCTTGGATCATCTTCGGAACCATCTTGGGGCATCTTGCGCTATCTTGAACCATCTTGGAGGCGATCTTGGGCTCCCTGAGGCCCTCTTGGAGTCGTTTTGGCTCATCTTGGACGCTCCAACGCGTCGCGGCCCCCCCTGTCCAGGTCAGTGGGGAGGGGGTGGGGGGAGGGGTAAACCCCTCCCCGAAGGGAAAGAAGGAGGGGTGGAAGAAGAAACGCTCTAAACCACCGACGCCCAGAGGGCTGGTGGGATTATGAATCTCATCTTTGCACAAACATGCAAACACAGATCTTGGGAACCGCCCCTACCACACATATATATATATATATATATATATATATGCAGTGTCTCTCTCGCTCTCTCTCTCTCTCTCTCTCTCTCTCTCTCTCTCTCTCTCTCTCTCTCTCTCTCTTTCGTTATATATATATATATATCCCTTTCTCTTTTCCCCTCATAGTATTCCCCGTAGTATTGCTCCTCTTCTTCCTCCTCCCATCATTCCTCTTCCTCGTCCTCCTCCTCCTCCTTATCCTCCTCCTCTTTCTCCTCCTGCTCCGTCTCCTCCTCCTCTTCCTCCTCCTCCTCTTAGTTTGTTGTGTTATGTATATATATACACAGAGAGAGATCCCTCTCTTTCTCTCTCGCTCTCTCTCCCTCTCTCTCTTCTCCTCGTCCTCCTTTTCTTCCTCTCCTTATCTCTTCCTCCTCCTCCTCCGCCTCTTCCTCTTCACCGTGTTCCTTTTATTCCTCCTTTTCCTCCTCCTCCTCCCCCTCCTCCTCCTCCTCCTCTTCCTCCTCCTCCTCCTCCTTCGCATCCTCCCTCGCGATCCCCCTCCCGCCACCCCAGAGTCTCCGATCGGGTCGCGTCCGTTGCTCCGCCGAGCTGGCCGGCGGGGCGCTCCGCTCGCCTCGGGGTGGTCTGGGTCGGCCCCGCTCTCGGGCGAGGCGCGGAGTGCCTCCTGCCTTTCGCCCGACCCTCTCGGACCACCCCTTTGCGGCCCGTGCTCTCCTTCTCCTTCTTCCCCTCGTGATTCGTGACTGACGGCACGAGTGTCTCTGGGGCGCTGTCATTGTTCCTCCTCCTCCTCCTCCTCCTCCTCCTCCTCCTCCTCCTCCTCCTCTGGCCTCCTCCAGAGGTCCCTGAAGCTCTTCGGAGGTGTCCAGAGGTCCCCACAGGGATTTGGAGGCCCCCAAAGAGCGGCCAACACAGCCCCTCAAAACTTTGATCATCCTCCCCCCGGCGACGCGTGGCGACAACAGCGACAGCGGCGACGACAGCGGCGGTGACACATCGGCAACGACGATTCAGAGCAGGGCGAGTTGAGACAACGGCAGCGCAAAATCGGTCCTCGGGCCCTTCCTGGGGTCCGAACGCACCAGTTGTCCGAGCTGCTCTCAGCCGTGGCGACGAGGACCCGCCCCACGGAGCCAGTTACCACTGTCTCAGCTCGCCCTCCTCCGACCCTCCTGATCATCGAAAGCGGCCGTGTCCGACAGCAGCAGGGAATGCCACCCCTCGCCCTCTGAACGACGGTCACGGCGGCGGCGGCGGCGGCGACGGCGCAGGCAACTCGATGGGGGAGGAGGAGGAGGAGGAGGAGGAGGAGGAGGAGGAGGAGGAGGAGGCGGCTGTCCCCCCTTGCCCCCCGAAGCGGCGCCAGGACCTCGCTCAGCAGCTGGAGCGGAGGTTCAGCGCCGCCGTCCCGGGCGAAAAGGTCGTTCCCGCCGCCGCGGCCGTCGTCGGCGCCGCCGTCGTCGTCGTCGTCGTCGTCGTCGTCGTCGTCGTCGCCGCCGCCGCCGCCGTCGTCGTCGTCGTCGTCGTCGTCGTCGTCGTCATCGTCATCGTCGTCGTCGCCGCCGCTATCATCGTCGTCGTTGCCGCCGTCGTCGCAGTCCCAGGCGTCGTCGTCGTCGTCGTCGTCGTCGTCGTCGTCGTCGTCGTCCCCGTCGTCCCCGTCGTCCCCGTCGTCCCCGTCGTTGTCCCCGTCGTTCCTCCTTCCTTCCTCCCTCTGGTTTTGGTATTGGCCCCTCTTCCAGATCTCCTACACGAATTGTTCAGTCCCAGCGCTTGTTTCCTAAATTTCGGCCTCTGGGTCTCTGGAAAAGGGGCCGGGATCCCTTGGGAAGGCGTCCTTCTTTGTGGTGTTGGTCAAGTCAGCGCACGAAGAAAGGCGACAGCATGAGCTTCTCCGCCTTCGGGGACACTGGTCCCAGGGCGGCCGGATGGCTTCGGCTACATCGTTCGAGGCATGATCTCTCCTGGCGGAGCAGTCGATTTCATGCGGTCCTTCGTCCGCCGATGTGAAGGCCTCGTCTTGTCTCTGCCCACGTGCGGGCCGATGCGCTCGTGCTGCCGCAAGCAGCTCAGCGCGCGCCGGCACTGCGTTGCTCGGCATCGCTCGGACGTGTGCATTTTTCCTTCGGCGGGGACCATCGAGGAGCGTCCTTGAGCATTTCGCGAAAAAAACACGCACCAAACCGACAAAAAACACTGGAAATGGACGTCCGAGCGATGGCCAGGTTGAGGTTGGATCTCGCGCTTCTGCTCCTGCACGCCTCGGGGAGGTGTGCGGCGGCTTCGCTGGAGTGCCGCTCCCGGCGCGGCGGCGCGCAGGAGGGGTCACCGGCACCGTACGGGTACTTTGGAGATTTGCCGAAAGTTGCCACTTTAGGGCCCCTTCCTGGCATTGCAGCGTTGCCCACATCGGGGAGGGTTAGGTTCGCAGGGTCACTGGCCAGAGTACCCGTTAGTGGAGTCGCCGTTAGACTGGCGCTCAAGCGGGGTGGGACGAGGCGGGGGGGCGGCCCTCTAAGAAGGCGGAGGGGCTTCCGGGAAGGCGGGGGCTTTCGGGCGGGTGGACGTGGGGGGTGACCAGAACGGGGGGTGAAGAAAAGTGCCCTGAAGGGCTTCTTGACGGCCTTTTCCTTCACCCCCCGCTTAGGCCACCCCCCATGACCACCCGCCCGAGGCTCCTCAGAAGCCCTCCCGGCTCCTTGGAAAGTCCTCCCGGAAGCCCGCATGCTCCCGCCCGCTGTTCTCGGCTCGTCTGCCCCTCTGCCTCGATCTCTTCGGGGCACCAGAGGTCCAGGTTCTCCACCCTCGATGGTCGCCCCCCCGAGCCTCGCTTCGGGTGCGCTCGGACCAGAGCTCCGACGCCGATCCAGCCGTGGCGACGGTGGCGCCCAGGAGGCCCAGAAAGGCCTCAGAAACGCCCGAAATCTCGATCGTCGACCCTCGATCTTCGGTGAGAGCAGTGACGAAACTGTTCTCGACCCTCGATCCTTTCCCGCCGCCGCCGCCGCTGCTGTCCCCGCCATGCTGCTGCTGCTGCGGCGGAAGCTTGGAGGTGCCGCAGATGGGGAGCATCGCCCTGCGGGCCAGGAAGAACCTGATCTCCAGCACCGAGCCCCCGAGCAGCAAAGAGACCTCTCTTTCGGAGGCCCGCACGGGGTGCCCTCCTGGCCTTTCCCGCTGCTCCTGAGAGAGAGAAAGAGAGAGAGAGAGAGAGAGAGAGAGAAAGAGAGACAGAGAGAGAGAGAGAGAGAAAAAAAAAAAGAGGGAGAGAGAGAGAGAGAGAAACAAAAAAAAGTGAACGAACGACAGCAGCCCCGCGCGGAGAGAGAGAGAGAGAGAGAGAGAGAGAGACAGAGAGAGAACGAGAGAGATAGAGAAAGAAAGAGAGAGCGGCGAACGACAGCAGCATCGCGCAGCAAGCCCGCGACCCCTACGCCGCGTGAGCAGTGCCAGCCTTCGGTGACCGGAGAAGGGCTTGCTGCACGCAAGGCAGCGAGCCGAGGCTACACGCTGCCGGCTGCTCCCGCGGCTCCCGCTGCCGGCTGCGCGTGCGAGTCGCCCTCCACGAGTGGCCTTCGGTGCGCGGCTTTGGGGGGCGCGCGCGGGGGGTCCCATCGCCCAGGCGCGCGCGGGCCGCCGCTGCTGCCCCGCGATGCCGCGCACCAGGGGCCACACTCGTCGCGTGCAGCCGCGAGGGCCGCGCCTGCTGCTGCTCACCCTGCTGCTGCTGCTGCTGCTGCTGCTGCTGCTGCTGCTGCTGCTGCTGCTGCTGCTGCTGCTGCCCCCGGCTCACCCTACCCACGAGTGCGGCTTCAGCGTCCTCGGCCCCAAGGACCGCCCCCGCATCCGCCCCGCTCCCCTTCCTCGTCCTCCGACTGGCCTCACCGGCCTTGACCTTTTGGGGCCGCTCAGCGTTTGCTTCATTTGTTTCCTCCCGCGGCCGCTCTGCCCCAGCACACTCCTCCCTCGGCCGCCCGCTGCCCACAGAGGGGCCCCGCCCCTCGCCGCCACCCCCGCGGCCACGACGACGGGCACCGAGTGCGGCCATGCAGCCGCCGTGGAGGAGGGCGTGGCTGAGTCGCTGTTCCCCGCCGCGGCCAGCGCGGGAGAGGCGGAGCACGGGGGCTTGCCGGCGGCCGCCGCCCGCGCGCGCGCCCGGCCGGAGCGCGTGCGCGCGCAGGCCGCGTGCTCGGCATCGCCGCTGCCCTGTGCGACGCATGCGCGGTCGCCCCTGCCATGCTATGCGCGGGGTGCCGGCGCAGGCGCGGCCGCGCCGCGCGGCCAGGGCGGCCGCGGGCGAGGCGACCGGGCTGTTCTTGTTCTCCGCGCTCGTCAGCGCGGCGGAGGCCATGTTCACTGGCGCAGACGCGGCGAAGGCGGTCAGCGGGGGCACGAGCGGCTCCAGCGGCATCCTGCACAACGGGAACATCAGCGCGGAGGTCTCCAAGCCAGAGCAGAGGTTCAAGCTCGGTTACAACAAGACAAGGGTGAACGGCCCGCACTGGAGGAAGTTCTTACCGAAGGCTGCGGAAAATTAAAGCCCCGAGGAGTTCACGGAGAAGTTGTTCCTTCATTCTCGCCTCCATGATGGGAATGTTCGTTGCGACGGCGAGGAAGTGGAGGAGGAACGTGGCGACTCATACTTCACATATTGCTGCTCAAATGGTGGCCCACAGTAGTGGACCGGCTTTATGTTTATCGGCACTGGGGCAGAAAACAGGTCCAGGTTCAGAATGTAGCAGTTCTTTCCAGCAGGCATCCGAGCGATTGCGCGAGTGCGAGTCAACTTATATCAAAACGGACCCAGAGCAATGACTTCCAAACGGATCACACTTCTTAGCGTGAACGTCGCCGCTTGGGACAGCTTCAAGGATAGGCTGGAGGATTCAGCCGATGAAGTGATATAGTTCAAAGAGACTCGTCTGGATGCCTAGGGGGGGCCCGCTGCCACAAAGGCTGCCAGCAAGCGTGGATATGACTATTTTTCTGGCCTCCCGACACGACCTCAGAAGGAGCCGAGCGGAAAGTCGAGTGGACTTGCCCAGGGGGGATTGGCAACGCTAGTCCGAGCAGGCCTGGCCACAGGATTTGAAGGCGGACGCGCGTGGGATGGGGAGCTGGGGGGGGGGGAAATGCGCGCCACCACACGCTGGCCGTGCATGGCCCCTCTCTTCGACAGCAAGCCGCTCCACATCGTCAATTAATATATGATGCGGGATATCCAGCATTGCGCCGCACGCGTCATTCACGAAACTTGCACCTGGTTTTGAAGACTGCGCTGCCCTGGGGGATCAAGTCTTTATCATGCGCATGGATGCGAACGCGTCCGTGGAGGAGAGCTACTTCCTGATCGCCATTTTTCACAACGGCAGGCGGCTCGACGCCGGTGCCATCAGCGCGGCAGAACCGACCGTCAGCAAAGACCCGAAGTGGGATCGGATTACCCATGGGGCCAAAGGCTTCTCGCCCCGACATGGTCATCTAGGGTCATTGCCAACGCCTAGCCAAATATATAATTTCATAGTTCCAGCTGCGTAGAAACCCAGGGGTCAAAGGATACTTGGGTGCACAGTTCGAGCTCAACCTAGACGTGCCGCAGCAGGCACGGCAACGCCTTCGAGCGCCACTACCCCACCCCGCGGCAGCGGCGCCCAAGATCACTGAAGACGACGTGTCGACGCTCACGGGGATGTTTATTAAAGTGGCGCTGGAGCATTCTGATGCTGACACGGCTTGGTAAGATGCGGGTCGAATTGCAGTAGGGTATCATGATGCGCGCGCCACTGCAGCAGGTCCCCCGGGCCACAGAGATCACGGGGGAAGCGCGCCGCCAGCTTCGATTGAGGAGGGCGTTGCTTTTGACATTCGCAAAATAACTCGGGGGCGCCCGCCTACGTCTGTATCCAGCAAGCTGGAGAATATCTTTGGTCGGCTTTCTGAACTTCCGTTTTGGGTGGCTCCAAGTGGGGGCCTACTTCGGGGCCAGCTATGTTGCCGGCGTCTTTGGGCGCAAGCATGTCTTCGGATACGGCGAGCGCCGCGGCTTCCTGCCGAAGCCACTCTAGTCGCGCTTCCAGAAGATCAAGACCTGCAGAGAGATGGGCTCAAACCCAAGCGGGATGAACTATTTCTGGCCCGGGCGAAGGTTCGCATTTTTATTCGAAAAATCGATTTCGCAAAAGCCTACGCCATGAACAGGGGGCGGCGCGAGCAATGCTCTTGAATGGCGCAGCGTCCATATTCCACACTGCGCGCTGTCATGAAGGCGGATGTATTATTCTAAAGACAAGGGCTGGCGCCCATGATCGAGCGCACTAGGCGCGGGAAGCGTTTTGCGACGAGCCGAAGCCCCGCGGCTGGCAGGCCTGCCAGGTCAAGTACGACAAGTACATCGGAGCAGTGTAATGCGAGCTACTTCTTCTAGTCGCTAATGCACTGTGGCGCCAATTCAAAAATGTGTATTGCGGGCGCCTGCTCTGGTCTGACAGCGAGTTGCTGCGCTGCGACTCCTGCCAGATAGCACTCCCGACATGTACGTGATCTTCTGAAAGAACTTGAAGACGAATGGATGGGGTGTCCTAGAGTAGCAACCATGGGCATTGCATCGCGCTTGCCTGAGTGGGATGCGGAGGCCGACCATGCCGCCGATATTGGCCCAGACCAGCTCTGGGCGGCGGGGGCAGACCAGACGCGGCCCGCCGCCCACCTCTCCCCCCTGTGCTCAGCGACCGCGGGTGCCAGGTTTCTTGACGTGACAAAGTGTAGCGAAGGTTGGCTTCGCCCCGGGGCTGCCGGAGCGCGCGGGCCACCGCTGCCAGACGGCGGCCCGCGAGCTTGCCCTGGCCATCGAGCGCGCGCGCCCAGCGAGCGCGCCGCTATCGGGCGCGCCGGGGGGCCAGAGAAAGTCCTTCGACTTCTTGGAATTCGACGTCGGGGGCAACCTCGTGGCAAGCTTGGGCGCCCCGCCCAAGGGCGCCAAGGCCTCGGGGCTCTCCCATTCGAACCTCGCGCGCCGCTGAAAGTCTGGACGGCATCCAAGGCTTTTTCTTGCGCAGACATAGCGATCTCCCGGGGGGCGGCCGGGGTCTTCCGCGGGCCCCGGCATTGATGAGTATTTGGTCGCGCGCACCTTAGGGCGCAGCCGCGGTCGCAGTTCCCGCCTTCATCGGCGGCGGCTGTCGCCGAGCAGCCAGCGAGGATCACTGTCATTCATTTGCTCTGGCGACAAAGGCGCCCTTCGTTTTCGGGCGCGCGCGCAGGCGCACGCGCGCGCAAGACAAAGACCAAGTTATTCGCGGGGGCGCGGGCCAGCAAACGCGGGCCGATGACCGACCCGGTGGAGGGCCGGCCTGGCTTCGAACTTCAGCTCACGCGACATGTTGTTTTAGCTGGCTGTGAATTGCGCGATCATGGTACATGTCCGACTGGAGGTCCAACGGCTTCCTCCGAGTGGTCAAGCACAACCAGCTGGCTCCAGCAGGCCTGCGAGGAAAGCCATGCATTCTCAGCGTTGCCGCACTTCTCCGCCTGGCACCTGGACAAGAGTTTCGTGGCATTGGTATTAATGACGGCTGCAGCTTCAAATTCCGCGCTATCCGTTCCCACAGGGCGATGCGCGCCTTCCTTCGAAGCCGCGCGATTCCGGGGGTGCGCATGCATGTAGAAAAGACATTCGATCGATCCAGCGCGGGTCTCTCTTGGCCAACCCTCCTACGTCGAGCGGCGCCTGTTCATCTCGCGCGGCGCGCCTGGGCTGGGGCCGCTGGCCAGGCAGAACTGGATGATGTGCCGTGGGAGGTGGTGCAAGTCAGCTCCTGGCGGGGCCATCGGTCGCGTCTTCGCGGCCCCCGAAGATTCGGGTTGCACCTTGGCCGGACACGTTTGATACCTTCGCCCAGCCTTCGGGCCATGCGATTGCGATGGCGGGCCAAACTCAAGGCGCGCGGGCGGGCGTAGCACGCGGGGATCTGCGCAGATCCATTATCCCAAATGACAAGCAGCTCTCCAAAATAATGGACATGCAAGGCCCAATCCCAGTTAAACAGCCACGCGGCCGTTCTCCGACGCGCCGAGCGTGCGCTGGTTGAAAGGAAGGAGGATCTAGAAGACTAACCAAAGCGATGAATGACTTCAGCTGCCAACCGC